AAAATACCTCTGTATTACCGCTGGATTTTCATTGGCCCAGAATGATTCCATGACTTGTCTGTAAAAATATGTACTACCCTCATTTCTTGCGTGTCATAGCTGTGAGCTGTGTAAACTCTCAGATCATTGGTTCTTATGCTCTTTTTGCATATGCCATTGACAAAATTACAATTATAAAATGCCTGAATTTTTAACAGCGTAAAATTGCTTCAAGAAGTTGTTTAGTTTCAAATCTGTGTTTCTCTACCCGTTTCTCTTGCAAATTCCCCAAATCCTTTGACAGCACATTTGACTGATTTCTTTGTATTAGCATGCCTACATCTATGGTGTTAGCAGTATTAGCATCACACATGACTTCAGATATATCTTCCTCTATTAGAAATAACACATATACTTATTATTTTCAACTTACTATCATGTACCATTTTGTGTAATGCAGTGACTGCCAACCTAGGGGTAAAACATTCTGTCTACCATTCACCTAAAATTAGATATTATTCATTTGCTTGGTATTGGGAGGAATCATCATGTTACATGATCCCCAGTCTATCAATGACAGAACAGAAATCTATTCAGGTGTTGTACATAATAAATTCCCATGGGAGCAGATAGATAATAATATTTATACAGTTTTTATATAGTGCATTCACTCTAACGTCTCAAAGCACTTCACAATTTGACCAAATGATACATAAACATCATTAATTTAGTGGTGAGAGCAACTATATAAGTAAATGGAAATGATTTAAACCAAGGATAAGTTTTTGCATCCCTGATGTGTTTTGGAAGTGAGTTCCAGAGTGCAGGCTGAACGCTGTCTACGTACACTATGCAGCGAAGACCACGAAGACAATGATATCCTCCAAGGGATCTGTATTCAATGTCTGGCACAAGGGTACCAAACAGACCCCTGACATAATAAAATCAGTGACCGAAGCTGTTTTACGTAGCAATTGAGCATTCCAAAGCATAAAGTTTCTCTGTGTGGAGGTTTGGGGTGTTCGCAGGTTTATAGTAATCAAATTTCTTAGGTTTGCACAAGTCTGGCCCTGATTAGCCTGCTGTAGATTGTTATGGATGGCTAAGACTGACTAAGACTGGTGTGGGTTGATAGATTCCCTGATTAGCACAATTTATTTGTGTCAACAGTTGATTTTACTGCCACTGATTCCATGTCAAATAGGTGCTCACATTACATGAAGAGGCTTTTTTCCTTTCCATTCTGAAATATAATGTCTTCTGAACTTCAGTACAAAAATTGTTCTCCCAAAATGGCAGTAAAGACTGCTTTCAAGCAAGACATGTGCAACCAACCTAAAACTGTGCAGTCTGTCTGTGTCATACAACTTTTTGTGCAGTACTTAAGTGAGTCACTCATTTTGATTAAATTTGAGACACTTCTGGTTTTATCTGAAATTATTGAAAGAACATAAGACAGAGATATAATAAAACTGATAACCACTGTGATGTGGGATGGGATATTTTTAACACCCAAGGGATGTGTAGTACTCAAGACAAAGATTGTTATACATGCACATGTGTGTTGCACACAACCACACACTTAATTGCTCCATAGTTGTGGCAAGGGGACTACACACTAGTTGAAAAATAGATGTTGTGGGGACCAAATCCAGTATGGGGGCAAGATTTATCCCCATAACCCAGTTCAAAAAATCTTCACAAAAGAAAATGCCTCTTAAGTGTGAGGACAGCAGGCACACAAGCCCTCAGATTAGCTAGCCAACTGGAAACTGGAATATTTGTAACCACGGTAGAGTACGGAGCTAGTACTGAGTTCACGTGAAGCATATAACTTGTATAAATTTGACTTCAGAGAGGTCCTTAGCTATAGGTGGCAGTTCAAAGCTTGCTGAGACTAGAAGTGGGTCTCTGCGTTGAGGTGGCATCACTGTTACACATGAGAGATCTCACTTAGTTTATTACTGGGCAATTCCAGAAAAAAGGGGGTACATTTTTGTATGTGTCCCTGTCATACGTGACATATGATTTTGTAAGTTCATTACATGTTTTCTAATTTCCAAGGGTGATAAATTAATGCAAATTGCCTACAAACAAACAGTAATAGTTTGAAATGAATTCCGGTGATATTTACCAATCAAATAACAAAGGTCAGATGTAACAGGGACATGAAAATGTCACACTTTTGAACCCCAAATTGCTGGATTCCTATTTTAATATTAGGTGATTGGGCAGAGCCCAGCCATCTTTGGGTTGTTTTGAATGGGTTTGAACCCTTCTAATTGTTTTCCTCCTGATATGAGTTTTCTGGAAAGATATAATTCCCATGACTTTTCTCCATGACATTGTATGAACTTGAAACTTGGCATTTGCACCAAAGATGATCACCAGATGTGTCTAAAGGGCTATTCATTTCACACTGATCCAAACCTCAATCAGTAATTCTTTTAGTTCACTGACATTGGAAGTGACCTCATGGATGGAGTGAGCCAGTGTCGCGATGACTGATCAAGATCCAGATCCAAGTGAGAAACAAATTAGCCCAAGTGTGACATCATCATGACATCATTCGGTATCTATTTCTGTTCCAAAACGTTAAAAGAACTCTTACGTTACCTGTATGAACTGCAAAGGTATGAATTTGTATTTTAGATCCCACATTTCTGGAGGAGGATATCTGTTGGGGACAAAGTCACCTGACATATATTTCCATTGTTCATGGAAGATAAAAACTGAGGGAAAAAAATGCTGTGATGCAAAAGTACTTGACCCTCACATCGAAAGTACTGGGAATTGCATTGATATGGGTTAATGATATTGTAGCGCAAATTGGTTAACACGTCTCGCACTCATAAAGACTCTCCTATGAAAACAGTTTCATGTGTTGTCTGCAAAGTTCACGCATGCCTCACTCCTTAAAGTGGTCGTTGTTTTTCACCATGGAAATCGTAGTTTTGTGTGCCTTAACTGCTCCCTTGAATGATGCATTAACTTTAATATTTGGTGGGTGCAAGCAGAATACCAGTGCGCGCACCCTTGCACGTTAGGCTATGTTTTTTCATGTGCAGAGCCCAGTCGGGCATATCAGCAATCCTGTGACATTTTGAGCACCCAAAGGGGCTATTTTCATCACCCAAATCAGGGCGCATCATTCAAAGATGCTTGGTGATTTTTTAGACTAGGTCACTTGCCTCTTTATTTATTTTGGATGCGGGTTACAGTGCGCCGAACAAGACAATAGAGCTTTCCGAACTGTAAGTAAGAATTAGTGTTATTTCCACCTAGACATGTTTTCCAAGCTAGTTACTTGTCTGTCCGATAGGGTTGCCTGCAAGTGTGGATATACTTTCCACAAATGGACTTACTTCCTGGGTTGTTGAAAACCCGCCGTCCATTGGAATTCCCACCGTGCGCGGAGCCGCTCCCACTCGCTACCTTATTACTTAATAACTTATTTTATGGGAAGAGAAAAACCACCACAATATCATGGGACATTTTACTTCTTTGTGGGGGCACTGTTTCTAGCTGCCCAGTTCTTGAAATGCTCTCGATTTTAAATCTTAATGCCGTATTTATCTCTATAGATGTTTTCATCTATGAATTGGCAGATTGATTTTTCCCTGTTGACTATTATAAGCTAGTTTGTTGTGCAATTTGTTTTGGATTTCTGCTGTTTTTTTTGTGGAAACTGTTTCACTGGATTGATTGCTGTATGGAAGAACTCTATGTTGATCCGACAGCCTGGCTGTATCATGGCATACATTAGTATGAGTTGTTGGAAATTTATGCTGTTTATTATTCTACTACAACTCCAATCCTGCTTAACCTGAAATATACACACTCTCCAAAATAATTGATTGTCTTCAGTGATCAGCAAGCTGTTAACAGTGACTCTGGGATATTTCATTACCCAAAACCTGATTTTGATATAGGTCATTCCACGAAGTTCGGGCACAGTTTGTGACGGTGTCCCTTGTTACATCAGTGAAAAAATTAACATCTTTTTTCCCTGCATGTGGATTCTAAACTGACGTTTTTTTAAAGCTTGCAAGGTTCTTGTAGTGTGTGCTTCATTTTTGCTGAATAATATGACTTAATCTGTTGTAATGTGAAAATAAAGGGCAATAAAAATTACCAATGTAACAAGGGATGCCATCAACAAACTACCCAAACTTCATGGAATGACCCCTATGTCTGACATTTCCTGCAAGGATTTGTGTGCCACAGAAACATGTCCCAAGAATTTGCCTGAACAGAGCCACTGTAGAAGAATGGAAGAAGCATGGTTATATCTACATATGTATTTGTGTACCCTGGATAGAGAGACTACCCTTCTTGACATTACAATTTTCAATGACATACCAAAGATTCCAGGCCCAGATGTGCCCATTGTATCTACTCGCACATGTATATAAAAAGGCTCGAATTGAGGTAATGGACAACCAAATGAATTGAAATGGTATGCACCGGTCTATGTTACTATCATGCATCAGTTACTATCATTCTGCTCAAAGTATACCATAGATAAGTCTTCTTACCAGCTTTTGAAATCATTTGGATTACTGAGGTGTAAACATGGATGCAGAGGAGGAAAGTGTATGAGCTATCTGCTTCACCTGTTGGACAATTTAACAGTTCAATGGTCTGAACTCATGGAACAGAAAGGATTGGATCTGTTTGAATCGTACTATATCTTCAGTGATAATAGCAATAATAGCATCCCTTGTCATATTGTTATCACCAATGCTTAGGTGTGAATAAGAATTATCTGACAGTTATCAAGAGCGTTTATCAACAATATCTGTTCGTGGTTCTATGGAATGCCAAATCCGTCAGCAACAAACCGTCAGTGGTGAACGTATCAATTTTTTAAAATCGCACAGATATATTTGTAGGACGAACTAAAACTTGGCTGAAAAAATTAAAAGTGAGCACTATATTGTCAACCAGTTTCATTCTATTTTGACTAGATATGATTTGTATTGTCCTTGGTGTTGCTGTAGCATTGGTGGTGTCACTGCTATTGGGCATTCAGAGCTTACTGTGAGCATAAATAAAACCCCCATATATTGAGAGGATGGATTTGATGTTGGGAATCAGTGTTGTAGTACTCGTATTCGGTACTCATACTCGAGTACTGTTTTCAGAGTATTCATACTTGTACTCGGACATCCAATTACTCTTACTTGAACTACCGTTCTTGTACTCAGGCTACAAAATACTCGGAACTCGACATCCAAAACTTGTACTCGAGTATCAAAGTACTCGTACTCGATTACCAGTACTCGATAAAAAAATGCTTTAAGTTAACTTACCACGGCCGTTAAAATAAGGTACAAAACTATCGACCCCAATGACCCGATATTCGATACGGTTCTGGCAAAAAGAAGGCCGAACGTGGAACCATTAAAGTATACGACCCATTCGCCGTCTGTGCGCTTACTTAACCAATCACGTACGCAAATTATATTGTGGTACTCCCGAATGGTCCCGCGATTTACTTGGGCATGGGTAGTCTGGTTCCTGGACCTGAAAATTCTAAGGACGAACCCAGCATACAGAAAATCACAGGCGTATGAATAATTGAGTGTGGAAAATAGACTTCGCCGTGCCGTGCACATTGTGTCAAGTGCTGCAACGCACGCATAGTGACCGTGACATTGCTAGCCAGATCACTTGTTCTTGTTGCTTTGTCATCTGCATTTGGTGTTTCTTTTACACAGTGGCAGGTCTTAGAGTCTCTAAATTAAGATAAAACTACTTTTGAATAATAAGTACTTGTACTCGTACTCGGAATTAGAAGTACTTGTACTCGGAAACCAGTACTTGTACTCTGCTGGCAAAGTACCCCACCTGTCTTTGTACTCGGCAGTACTTGGTACTTGGAAAAAAGCACTCGACTACAACACTGTTAGGAATTTATCAGACTGTATTCATGTTATTACTGTTTATCATCCTCCTCAATCTTCAAAGAATGTCACTAATGACTTTCTGAGGGAGTTTGGATCTTTGTTGGAAACAGTCATCATTGGGCCAGGGTGCCTAATTATTTTAGGTGATTTTAAATCTCATATGAAGGATTCATTGTGGAAGAATGTGAAACAATTTTGTGAACTCATGGATTGTTTTGGTCTTGGGCAGCATATTCAAGGCCCCACGCATGAGAAGGGGCATACTTTAGATTTGGTAATTACACACTCAACAGACAAATTCATTTCGACTTTCAACTTGAAAGTACTTCAGCATCTGACTAATATCAGTCAAATATGACCAGACCATGAGTTGCTTATTGATTTACCTGTAAATTGTCAATTTCTAGTGAGTCATTAATCAAGCATCTCAATTCTTAACCAGTTTAGAGCAGTGAGTTTGATTGTGTTGGTCAGTAAGGCTACAGAATTATAATTCGAGAATGAAGCAAGTCTTTAATGATCTTGCTCCAGAAACTGCCAAGATGATTGTGATTAAGCCCAGAGCACCTTTGTTTTGTGATGAAATACATTGTAGCAGCCAATAGACAATAAATAAAGTCCAAGCGGTTGGCACACAGTGGCCTGGTGTGGGAGTTGAAGGAGTCCTGCTATCACTCAAGGATACTGGATTGTGACCAGGGAAAGCTCTTTTCACTGGTAGATGATATGATTGGTGAAAAGGCGATTGTAGCAAAGTTGATTGCCACAGCATACTGACAATAAGGAAGTAGCTGAACAGTTTATCATGTTTATGGGCCTCTTTAATGGCTCCCCATCTTTCAAGGATATGTCAATCGGGATACTTTGCCATATATTGCATTAGCAAAATGCAAAATATTTTTGATCTCACCACTACTGAAAGTCTTCTTTACGCTTTTAGTACATCATGGTTAGATTATTGCAGTAGTCTTCTTCATGGTGCTTCTGATAACTTAATTCACAGATTACAGTTGTTGCATAATTCAGTTGCTCGCCTTGTTAATACTGAGACTGGAAACATGAACACATCACTCTCTTTACATAAGTGATCTCCCAAAAGGCGTAAGATCCCAAGTACGACTTTTTGCTGATGACTGCATTCTCTACCAAGAAATCAAATCTGGATGGTTCTTCAATGTGATATTGACACCCTATGCAACTGGATATCTAAATGCCAGATGAAATATAATAAATAAATGTGATGCATGTTACTCCTATACGGAAACCCTTCCAAACCTGTTACAATATGAATGGGGAACACTTAGATTCAGGTACAAATCACAAGTACCTTGGCGTTGAATTTAACAGCAAATTAAACTGGACAGACGCCGTAAACATCATAGTACCCAAAGCAAACAAGGTTATTTGTCTTCTGCAGAGCCTACTTGTACAGTTGTTCCCGCAAGGTCAAAGAAACAGCTTACAAAACCTTAGTGCGACCCAAATTGGAATATTGCACTTCAGTGTGGGACCCATACAAGCAAGATCATAAGAAGGTTGGAAGCAGCACAATGTAGATTAGCTAGATTTGTCTGTAAAGACTCAAGAAGGACCAGTAGTGTCTCCTCCCATGATAACTGAACTGGGTTGGGGATCACTAGAAAGCCCCTGGGCCGTATCCAGACTCACACTCCTGTTCAAGTCCATACATCATATGATAGCACTGATAACACTGACAAATATCAAATCACACAAACTGCTGATAAAATTCACAACCGGAAATCAACTGCAACTTCCTTTGTTCATTCCCACCATTAAATAGACTGTGACAGATACTCATTTCTGCCAAGAAGCATGGTTGAGTGGAACCTACTGCCAATAGGCATACGACAAGTAACCACAGTTGACAGGCAAAAGACAAAATTAACATAGATCTACGTGTAACTTCTTTTAACCGGGGGGGGCGCACTATTTGTATACACTGGCCAAGACACACCAGCAACAGTATTCGTGTATTCGTGAAGAATTAGTCCCATTTTAGATCGTCTTCATTGGATTCCTGGTGCTCAGTGTATTGAGTTTAAGATTTTACTTTTTTTTTACAAATCTCAAATGATGAAGTACCTACCAATTTGTTAATGGTTTCAGAAAATACTATTGTCCCAGAGTCTAAACATGCCTAGTCCAACCTCAACATAATCTGAATCATCATGGCAGGCATGCCTTTTCTGTATCGGCACCTTGCCTGTGGACTAAACTGCCATATTATATTTGCAATTCACTGTCACTTTCCGCTTGTTTTTATCGTGATTTTTATTCCTTGTGAATTTGTGATACATTTTGTACTTTTAATTTGTTAATTGTATGATATTTTATAGAATTATATTTCCTGCTGTTTTAGTCTGTAAAGCACATTGAGATTTTGTGCATTTGCATTTATTAATGTAATGTGCTATATACAAATAAATGATTATAATATCACTACATGCAAGAGCACCTTCTTCGTGTAGCTGCACATAAAACAGTATTGTGTATAATTTTATATTTATTTTCAACACTGAATAGCATTGAATCACATAGAGTTATTGGAGAATGACAAACGGTGGAAATTTCAGAACATAGACATCATCAACCAGAAAGATATTCTTGAGAGAATTTTTTTGCTTTTGTTTTTAATATTGCAAGATCTCTCAAGGATGTACAAGTTGCTGAAATCAGTAGCAAATGGGCTTCACATCATGGTCAACGATCTCCAAGAACACATCAAACAAACAGGTACCTTGTACACCAACAAAACAAACAGCAGTGTGATTAGCTGCATGCTCTACATGCATTTTACAGTACAGTCTTGGAGGTGTTACATGATGGTAGCATGTTCATACAACATCACCTAATTACATATAAGATGCAATGTTAGCATATTTCAGTGCTCAATGATGCCATATGTAAGGAGGTAATGCTCAACAAGTGTATGATGGTAATATTAATTCCCAATATATTGTAAGCAAACAAACTGAGATTATTGCTAAGCTGATACCAACTACCCACTCTCAAACCATGCTGTATTTGTGTAATACAGGTAAGTCCACCGTTTATGTGTGCATAATGTTCCTATGAGGCAACAAAACTACTCATATCTAAAAGATGATGCCCAAAAAACAAACCTGATGAAGTTACAGCTGAGTGAATTGAAGTGAAGTTGCAGAGTCATGTTTTGAATTGGGCTGAAAGTCAGCATGTCAGGGACAAGTTTTCATGTTTTTCAGTTGAACACAGCTACCATATTTGATGTCACACACTGAACTGACAAATTGAAGCATCATGCTTGTGTGTGTGTTGTCAACACTTGCACACACTTTTAATGGTCATTTTTAAAAATATGTCTGTTGCTTGTTGGAGAACTACAAATGATGGACTGTATTTTTAAAAGATATTTATGAGTTTGTATGTAAAGATAGCTAACTTGAGCATTTGTTTGTTTTTTTACTCTTGACAATATTGTATTTAGGGTTACAAGCAGTTTCAAGTCTACAGGGTGAAAATGTAAGTAACAAAGTCATACATATTCCTGGTTTGTTTTTTAGTGCATTACAAAGTTTAATGATGTGCATGTATTGTTGTGGTTTGCTGAGATAAGTGCTTATGTCATGTATGTTGCTTGAAATCTCACAAAACTATGTTGCCTCCCAGTTCAACAAACTAGTTTAAAAACAAGAAGTGTAAATAATCTAAAGTGATTTGGACACTTTAAGGTACTGGTAGCAGACCTGAAAAGAAACTGCCAAAAATAATTGTAAAGGAAAATTACAATTTTCTAGGGACACCAAAGGATATCATATTGAGGCTTGCTTCATCCCTAAAAGTTTAGCTGAATTTCCTCGCCACTTTAAAAGTGCTTTTCCACTCCATTACAAAACAGACCCCCCTTGGACTCCTGTTTCCTTATTTCCTCATTTGAATCATCAAATACTCTGGTAACAAAACCTGTTATTACAGATAATTTAGGTCATGCAAATTATGATTTAGTCGGCATTGACTGGGGACAATTTGCTGCCATTCACTCCTTTAGAGAAATTATGTTACCGCTTTAAAATTGTGACATCAGGAATCATAATATTGTACAGTTAGTGTCAGAGCTAAATGGTTTGTACCTCCAGTTTGCCAAATCTCCTTGAAATAAAGGGTTCTAGGCCACTGTGAGCCACCAGATTTAACATGTCACAAATTAGTTTAAATATAGTACATTAAGTGTAGTTTTATAGTAGCAGCATGTAATTTTTGACCTTGCTTATTCATACTTGCAAAATCCTGATAGTCCTCGGAATTTTCCTGATGTACCTCAGTCAGTGTTTATTTCTGTACCAGGACTGGTGCATATTAGCGATATTATGCGAATATTCGCATATTCATATTTTCAAAGGTTCAACCTTTTTAAGAGAGTAAGTAAAAGAAATACACTAAAATGGTAGGGTTGCTTGCACATGGGTAATATTTGAAGACTTAAAAAGGCTCACCAAAATTTCCAAGGGAATTTTGATTGAATTACATGTATGAGTTGCTTAAGTTTCATGAACTTTTATTGCATTCCTTTGTCCTGTTTGCAATAGATACACGCCCTCTTTGTGGATGCAATCTTGGCCTTGCACAGCAAGTACACTAAGATGATTTGTGAGACACTTGGAAAGGATAAAGTCTTCACCATGGCCTTGGATAAGGTAATGTCAAGCTCCTGCCATACGTGTATTATAATATAGCAACAGCTGTTACTATGTTCATTGAAGGAACAAGGATTTCCCCTTCTTCTGTGCGGAGGGTAATGTAACAAAAAGGTCTGGGTTATGCTGGGTTAAGACACAGTTGTAAGTAGTGCGCCCAGCTGGAGGTATGTTCATTGAAGGAACAAGGACGCCCCTTCTTCTCTGGGGAGGGTAATGTAACAAAAAGGTCTGGGTTATGCTGGGTTAAGACACAGTTGTAAGTAGTGCGCCCAGCTGGTGGTATGTTCATTGTGATGGCACATTCCTTTTTGGGATGCTGGGCCATGTCTATTGATGTAAAGTACAAAAGGTACAATGGACTGCATTTCACCGATTGTCTGCTACCATTAGGAGGGTACTGGTATATGAGGCCAATGTGACTACCACTGGGCAAGGCGGGGGAGCCGTTTAGCGTAGTGGTTCTTCCTTCACTTTGCACCAATGAGGCTTGGGTTTGAGTCCCAGCTTGGCCTAGGCTTTAAATGCATTTGGTTTTGAGACCATACTCAATCTTGCAGGTTTTCTCTGGGTACTACATTTTTCTCCTGCCTCTAAAACTGGACCTTCTTCCTAACTCCATAAAGTGATGCTGATTAATAGAGTTATGAATAAACATATAGTTCTTGCTGCAAATAGCCTGAGTAGCTGAAAGTGCCATAAAAACAAAACAACAACACTGGGAGAGGCATTTTTATAGAACACTCTGGCGGGGGACACATCTGTGTAGCTTGGCGGGCGGCAGTCCTCTATTCTTTTAAGTTAAATTTACTACTGCAAAATTTGACGTAGCTTGTTTTTTGTTGTATAAGTTACTGCCGTCTGTCAACATTTTTTTCTGTTGCATCACGTAAGTTTGCATTTTTGTCACGTTTCATTCCTATAATTCTTATGTTGTCTAGTGCCATGGGAATTTAGCTTGGTCAATCTCACCTTTTTTGGAGAATTAAGAAATTAAAATGTTCATGTTCTTAACCACTACCAGCCGGGGACTCCGAAATCGTAGCCGTATGGTTTATATGTGTGGCCGGGGTCTCCGAACTCGGACAAAGGAAACAGGGCCTTGTAACAAAAGACGGTACTCCGAACAAAAGACCAGGCTGCTGGGCATTACCGGCATTTTTCACTCTCAAAAGTGGTGATAATCCAGCGTTATTTTGAAACCGTATACCAGGGTTTGGGGTATTTAGAGCAAGTGGATTACCACCGGGGATAAAAGCTCTCCACCACCGCA